AGATATTTTGTGACAGCTCAAATATATTTAAGAATATTAAGAGCCCATAACTTGATCGATTTAAATAGAAATAGATTCAGAGTACAGATTAATTATTCAATGCTATTAAGGTGACCTGAAGCTACAACTTTTAGAATGGAAAATACCGTGCGTTCAATTTATCTTAATAAGATTTTAATTGGCTTTTTTGTTTTTAGAGGTATCAAGGCAAAACTTTATGACATATAAGCCTACATCATATTTTTGTAAATATATCTATATTATGTAAGTATGTGTTTAATAGAATATTTTGGTAATTGGTAAATATAGGAAATTTATATATAACAAATAGTTCTAAATGCAACAACAATAGTTATTTATAAATTAAAGTAACACTAAACCACTAAATATGATTGATCGATTGCTTCTAAAATCATTTGCAGAAGTTCCACGCACATTCTTACAAGAAGTTTCGTGCAAGTGATAAAACATGATAATTCGACTATTATTGAGACCTTCTTAACCTTCTTAATATGAAATAGGCTTCCGAATATTGGGCGACTGTTTAGCAAGCAACAAAACCGCGGGTTAAAATAGACGTTTAACTCGCCACAACAGCTGTGGAAATGTAATATCGCTCGAAGGAACTCGCCTCAACAATCGAGATAGAGCAAAAGCCCACATCGTGCCTGTTTATATTTAATTAGGTCTGTTTGCAGTACGAACTACAAAAGATGTCGAGCGAGGGCGCTGATAAAAATCCGTTGATGTTCGCAACCCGTATCGCGAGGCACCGAACAAAAGAAATGCACTCGCTATCGCTAATTACCCAGTTTTTGAGGTTAGAAAATCCGAGGGAAGTGTCCGTTCCATCGCCTCGTGGTTAAATCTACGGGCAATTTGCATCGTGTATGGAAAAAGTCCGGACGGTTCGGCGACGCCTCTCAAATTTCGATAGCGCCCGATTTATTTTCGATTTGGTCCGCAGGATGCAGGATTTTCTTTTAAGCCCGTCCGGGGGGTAGTTAAAAAGTCAATTAAATCAAACGACGGTTTGATTGCGCAAAGTTTCGTCGTTTGGCTTTTAACCGGTTTTGTTGCAAGGCAAAAAAGGCGATCGCTACGCGAGGCAATTAGAACATTTTTTTTTCTTTTTTGGAAACCGGTTGGGAGTTTTTGCTTGGTTGGCAGTGCTCAATGCGACGTCAACATTAGCGCACAAAACTAAGCTCGAGCAATCAAAAATGACAATTTAGAAACGATAACCGCATGATATGATCAGTAATCACAGCTAACGGTTTTCAATATCTTGGCTTTTTTTCAATTGGAAAGGCGAAAGCTAAAAGTATAGTCCTTCCGCAAATATCACTGCATACGTTTACGTATAATATAATATATAAAATATAATAGCAAAATATGAGGTAACACGTCAACTATCATAACTTATCGATCATAGTTTTAACCTAAAAGGTGTTTTAATTTTTTAATTTTATTATGATTTTTTTTTACTTATTCTATGGGAAGAACTTACTCTTTTCGCATTCGCCATTTGCGATATATTGATCTCTGAAAAATCCGTGAACAAGAAATAATATTTTACGAGGCGAAACCCCTAGTTTTCGCAAGCTGTCGTCGACGAGAATGCAAAAAAATACCCAATTCTCCCAGCTTGTCAGAATTACGGGGCCCTATTAATCGCCTAACAAGCGTGGAAGAAAGCGCGAGGCATTACGGGGTAATAAAATGAAGTGGGGGGAGGGTCGAAAAGCACTTTTGTGAATATTGCTGGAAAATTGTCTATTGCTGCGGTGCTTACGTCATTTCGGGCTTCATGGTTATTTACTCACGTTCGGGGGCCTTCCAATTTTACGTCGAAATACATTTGCGTAACTAGACAAAAAAAGCTTCATACGTATTCAGCAATAGTGATATAAATAAACGTTAATAATTAATGCTCTTCAAGTTAACGTTGTATCTAATTAATTGATAATTTTTATTTTTTTCTAGAAAACAACTCACGAGTCAAAAAAATTGCAAACAATAACATTCGTTGCGATACCACCCGGGACGGCACTGAACTTGATAATTTTAATCTAGCAAAATTAGCCCTTTATCATTAGAAATCACGTTGCCAAATTTCAATTTAAGATTTAACAGTATTGCAAAAAATCCTTTTTTTTTTAAATATTTAACACCAATTATTTGGAAAACAAGCATTTGCGTTTATATCAACTTTTTTTCCAAAGACAGAATTGCGCACGCAATCAAGCATTTTTTAGAAAAGTATACCTTCTGGCAAGATAATCGAAATATATTTTTTAACTTCATTTTAAATATTTTTTTTTTTCATATTTTGATTGTCCTATATAAAATTGTGTTGTGGCGCTACTGATCCAGGTATTGTAACGAAAATTTAAAACGGACTAAAGAGATGATGCACTGCTCAATCAGTTTGACAGATGCGCCTCAGCTTATACAGGATGTCACAAATAGGTTTTGCCGTTTTGGCGAATTTAATTAACAAAATCGTTTTCAAATGGAAAACCCTATAATTTTATTCAGATATCCATTCTAGGACAGGGTGTCCATTAATAAGTGGAGATTTTGAGAAAAATCTTAAATTCGCCTTGACAAGTATAGAAAAAAATAGAAATATGAAAAACAACAAAAACAACCAGAAATGTCAAAAAAAGAATGAGATGTCATAGCCAACTACATTTTTAAATATTTTGATATTTCTCTATTGTTTTGATGCCAGATAAAACGAGCATTTTAAGAAGAACATTTTTAACCGAACTTTATGGTCCGAATTAATGAACACTTTTTAGTTAACTTGTTTTTTCATCGATGTATTTATTCAAATTTAATAAATCTGTATTGTTGGCAATAGGTATAATTCATTTATCTGGAGTATTGTATCTTTAAAGGAAGTAGGATCATGTCTTTGCTATTTAAAAAATACCTCATATTGCCAACAAGCGACGCTTGTGGGCAGCTTCGAATTCAACAATACTTTATCCGGGTGTTATCTTAAACCGCGAATATCTCAAAAAGTAAGAAAAATTTAAACATAAGATAAATTACAAACTTACCTCATTTTTTTTATCCTGGAATTGATATTTGAAAAAAATATGGGGTGTTCTCTTTGAAAATCTTGAAATTTTCTTAATTGAATTGTCCAAAACGGCACCACCTATTTGCCTGGATCAGTAGCGTCACAGCACAATTTTATTATATGGAGTAATCAAAAAACTATGCAAAATTGGAATAGGAATTTCTTTTAACAAGTTGATATCGGAGGGGCCACTTTTGGGACACCCTGTATCAACAAAATTATAATATTTAAAATCTCAAAGTTCAAGCAACTTTTGTACGATTTTTTTTCTATTTCCTCTGGGTTTCTAGATCATATAGGGTGCCGTTTTATGCGTCGTATTTATGCATCTAAAAGCGTAATTATTTTAAATCAAATAAAAATACCTTGTTCACTACTACCTTTAAAAGCGGCCTGTAGAAAAGTTATTCGCTAGTGAGTAAAGTACATTTCGATAATTTACAACAATTGGGGATAGATTTCAGAAAAAAAAACTATATTATAACACAATTTTTGTCAGGGGGGGCACGCCCCACAGGTTGAAAAAAACCACTGACATATTTCAATGTATCCGGTTTCGAATATCTTTGGAGATATAAGGACAGATGCCATGTGGGACACGGTTTATTTTAAACAATACCTTGCCAAACAGACCTTTTTCATTACTGATTTGGTGGTATAGCATACATAGCAACACCGTTATTTTATTCAATTCATTCAAGCAATATTGGTAAATGCTTATTACGTCGAGTCACTCAAAAATAAAATCGACACAATTACGTTAAAATTGCAAACTAATTGGAGCGATCCAAATCATTCCAAATTAAAAGGATCATTTTATTTAAGGCACGTAATGTTGATTTAACTGCTTTGTATGTCTTATAGCCAAAAACGGCAGCACCTTTATCAAACTAACGCATTTTTTTTTCCTTTTCTACATGGAAGGGGAACCATTTTCTTCCCCATTTTCTTGTAATTATAAAATTCGACGCACTCAGTGAAAGTGGACGATTTGCTAAAAAAGTGCAAAGTGCGAAAGTAACAGCCCTTATCGTAACATTCTTGGACGAAAACAGACTGTTAACGGACCCCTGCTATCGAAAAAGGTCGCGGTAATTGCTACGTTCCATTGCCAAACCCTTCAAGGCGATTTTAAGTGACCGTTTAACCGCAGTCGTGTCAAGAACGTAAATCGGAGACGATCATTTGCAACATAAATTATTCAAAAAACGGAAAATAACAATGGGTAATATTGAAACGGAATACATTTATAATTATTTTTTAAATATTAATTAATTCACAATAAAAAAAAAACAAATGCATCGGCCGGGAATCGAACCCGGGCCGCCCGCGTGGCAGGCGAGCATTCTACCACTGAACCACCGATGCTAATGATGGTTGCAATAAGCCAAACATATACTAGCCGATGCATTGCCACATAGGTAAATGGCTACTCAAATATTGTCTCCCTTATACGTTTCATAGCAAGGTTGCAAAAATAACTTCTCGAAGGGACCGGTATGATTAACTCATGTGCCGAGTTTCAATAAATTTTAATTAAAATAAATAAGAACTAAAAGTTCAGATTTTCACAAACACGCATATTTTGACATGACAATTGTTTCGACAACACCGTGTCTTTATCAAATGTAATATTTACTATATATACCGAGAAATGACCGTAAAAGCTTAATTAAAGTTGTGAGAATTTCAATAAAGGAGAGGTATTCAATGTACTGACCTAGTGAAAGCAATGATTGATTATTCATAATAAATTATGAATGCACCTAATAAAAAAAATATATTAATAATGCGGCTTGCAGAAGTCATAAAAAATATATATTCGAGTAACACACATGTGGTTGTAGGACCAAACAGCGTTGGTTGGCGTAGGGAGTTAAAATTTTAATATCAATTTATCCTTCAGAAAGCATCATTCGCTACGACGCACCCAAAGGAGATATCCGGGAACCTGACATAAATCTGGAAGACATAAGCTACGACGGCATCTCGGACGGCGTCGACATGAAGGGCGGACTGGGACAGCTGGTGGATGGTCTTTACGGCGACGACGACTACCAAAAGCAAATTAATGGAGAACAATCAGGTAAGACGTTAAGACGTTAGTTCCCTGTCTTACACAGGCAACAGTTGAAAAATCAGCTTTTTATTTTAAAAGGGCCTTAAGAACAAACGTATTGACAGTTCCTTTTCAATAGGATATATTACCAATCGGTCTGGGATACAAAATTTATTACACTAATAAAATAAATTATAACAAGTAAATTAATGACGTCAGATTGATATGACAAAGTACTTTGTAATGTTTGTTTTAAGTCGCTTTAAAAACTGAAAAGCTTTATATTTATTACATGGGTACATGGGTACATGCTAGTCCCAATATGTTGGAAATACAAGGTTTGATTTCTTGTAGAGTAATTTGTTAGTTAAATTAAAAAGTTTGTTCAAGAAATATACCATTAAGCATGTACAAAGTCATGTTTTTGCTCAAATGAGAAAGACAAAACCAAAAATTCGCTTACTACTCACTTTAAACCTCATACACAAAAAATGAATCAAACGTTTTTAGGTTAAGTTGAATTATAATAATAGTAGATTAAAATTCATTGAAGATAAATAAATAATAAAATAAATTAATGAAAATTCTTAACGGAAAGGGTTTAGGTAAGCTCATCGCAGATGTTTTCCTTGTTAGTTTTTATCTGATATCACCCGAAAGCAGCACTTGACAAAGTTTAACTTCGAGAAATTATATTTATTTATTTATATTGATTCCACAGTGAAAAAAAATAGTCGAAATAATGTGCAACGTCGCAAGTCATCAAAGTAAATCAATATTGTAAATAATTAAATTTATTGTTTCAACAATCAAATCACTCATCATAGCTTAATTGATATTTTTTGCACTGTGACTAAAGTAGAGAAAATGTTGGAAGTGGCCCGAGCGACAGTGTTTAATGAGACTAGCGTCTTTAATTGGTGCTTGGCGCATGCTTCACCTCATTTGTGGCAATTTAGGCTGTAAGAAATACGACCATAGAAATCTTAGGTCTAAACTGAACTTACGTTGTGTAAACAGCTGCCTATGAGTTGATTATTGTTTTTAAATTGCACTTCGGGTCTTACCTACACGTTTATAAATATTTGATACATAGTATTATAAAGTACACATATTAGGTCAATATTCAGCGTCTATATTTCTAGGCGTTAGACACAAATATATATTTTTTAATTTCAATTTAATTAATTTTAATTAAATTTAAAAATAAAATACAATGTTTTTAATGGATCTATCTATCTACGTACGTATCTATGACCTAAACTAACTAAAAAATTATGTTATGATGTCCAGTTATTGTTTATAATTGTCGGAATCTCTAATGTTTTCGATGCTATACTGTGCCCGCACCAAATCGATCTTGTTTTTGAGCATTTAATTCATAATTAAATTCAGAATAAAGATATCGAGATGCGGTTGGCATTGCACTTGTTTTCTTGTAATTAGAAAACTCCATCTGGTGGCAAGATAAGCAATCACAGTTATGTCACTCATAGTCCTAAGTATGCGATACTACAGAACATTATGGAAAGAAAGATCAAGGGAGAAGAAGAACCTCTTGGCTCAAAAACTGAAGAGAATGGTTTGCAATGACATCAAGCCCTTTATTTAGAGCAGCTGTAAGGTAGCCATGATAATATCCAACCCCCGTCAGGAGAAGGAACGGGAAGGAGAAGAAAAATAAAATGACCTCTGTCCGCCTAATCCGTGACTAAATAGATACAAAACGGCACTTATAAGGTTTTCATGCAATTGTCCATGACAACAACAAAAATTTAGTTATTATAAGATAAAATTCACGGAATATCAAAATCTATAAAAAAAAAACTGTCCTGCATCTGTCAACATTTATAATTAATTATTTTATATTTTAAACTTTGGGCTTTTAAACGTAATCGAAGGATCAATATTAGCACATTAAAGTGCACAAAACCCAACGAACTACTTTTTAGATATTGTTGACATTATTTACCGAATTCATCTACTTATTTTTGTTTTATTTTTTCATTATTATTTAAATGTTCTCCGACCCCCTTTGTCGCTGCCGGAAACATTTAAACTTCCAAAAAATTAAACAGCCCATAAATGCGAAATTGATAATAAAAGGAAATGGCCGACGGGCCGTTCTCATTTTTAAGCGTCGTTTTTGTATAACCCCCCGTCCCCGTGCCGCTCGGAGTACGTGCCTAAACATACTGATCCGCCGATAAAGGCCGTTCGAGATTGTTCAGAATTTGTTCAGAAATTTCGGTTATCTGGGACCGACCGTGCAGACGCGTCGGGTTTATCTAAGGTTAATGTCGAATACATGAATTTTAAACTTATCGCTGTTCTGCGCTTGTATTTGCCAAAGGCGCGGAACAAAGGGCAAATTTGTTTAGGCCCGAGATAAAAAATAATTGGGGCACAACGGGGCACGAATGGTTTTATAATGATCGCGTGGGCGGTTAAGGTCGAAATATATTCCGGGGGCGGAGAAAGGCAATAAAATAGTGACGAAGCAATAGAAAGCAAGAAACAATCTAGCTATGGAAGGCAAAAGGAAGAAATATCTTAATGCTGATAAAAGCTGAACCCTGAATCGAGTTAACCCTAGACAGCTGGTTGGGCCTGATATGATACCAAACCTGTTGCTGAGAGAATGTACCGTATCGTCTTGTGACCGTTATTGTTTTTATTTGATAAGTCCCTTAATCCAGGTATATTCTCAGACAGATATCATCTACTACAGGCCTATTTGCATACAATCAACAATACCCAAGGTGTTGGGAAGGAGGGTTTTGCCATTGCCGGACGGAGTCTTCCGTAACATCACTGTTGAGTGGCAGCATGGGTTCGTAAATGGCCTTTCTACTGTGACGAACCTTCTTACTTATACTATATATTAACTTATATTTATTGACTTTTAACAAAAGTATCCGATAATATCAACAAGTTATTAGAACACTAAAATACAAACTTTAAAAACAGATACGTACCAACGCCTAAAGATAAAGAGATTGGCATCACTAGAATCAAAGTATAAAAGTATAAGAACAAAAAATGTTCTTATTCAAAAAGAGCTTTAATTTTCCCTTAAATAAATGAACAGGCAATGACTGTCTGACGGACAAAAGCAACGTATTATTTAGTTTTATTAACTTATGACTTGGCACCTGCAAATTGAGATTAGCTCTAAAATTATAATCTCCACCAATTCTGGTCATGCAATAATTAGATAGATTACTTTTTATTGTAAATTGTGCTATTTAATATAAAAAGCGAGCGAAACGTTCAAATATTTAATTTTGGGAACAGGGTTCTGTAAGAGTGACCACGAGACTTCCCCAACATTGTTCGAACAATACGTTTTTGGTAGACAAAAACTTCACCAGTTGTGGAAGAGTTTCCCCAGCATATAATAGGGTAATATAAGCGAGATTGAACGTATACGAAATAATAAAATAGTAAAAGCTGAAGATCCACGCAACAAAAGTATGCACAGCCATTTTGTTTAATTCAATTTGGCCTGTCCAGGACAAATTACTGTCTATGAGCAACGTTAGTCTGATTAATCGATTTATCCTGCATTCTAACCAATAAGCTCTTGTCCAGATCCCTAAGCGAAAACAACATCATCTCAGTCTTTGTCCCGTTCAAACAAATACTGTTACTGCCCTAGTGGCTAAGAACGTCAGATCTTCCAAACTCCTAGATGACACTGTCACAGCAGTATCATCTGCAACATAATTATCTGGGAAAGAATCAGATAATAAATATTATAAATATTAAAGGTCCCAGTATGCTTTCCTGTGAGACACCGCTGGTGAGTTCTTTAGATAAGCATCTCACAGTAGTATCATTCCTAAGGACAACTCTTTGGTCACGACCCTTAAAAAACGAATCAATCCAGGCGTAACTATTCACCCGTATAACGCAATTATTTTACTTATTCAGCGACAAATTAATATCAAGCACATCAAAAGCTCGCTTGAAGTCAAATAACATACATAATGTTTTATTATTCTGATCCAGGTTCGAAACTATTTGCGAAAACCAAACTAATAATGGCCGTGAGGTGCATTCTATATGTACTGACTTCAGCAATGCGTTTGATATGCTAGACCAAGGAGTATTACTGAACAAACTGAACAAAAATTTGCTTAGAGGTGCGTTTCTATTGTGGCTTTCAACAGGTCAAGATCAGCTGTTTCCTGATCCCCAACCTAGATGTAATATCCGGCGTGCCTCAGGGGTCTCATGTGGGCCCAAAATTGTTTCTTCTTCTGGTTAATGTCATTTGGAGTGACATTATTCCCTTTTTCCAGATGATTTAAAAACTTACCTCTGCATATGGTCAATTGATGATTGTAGTGGTTCAAAGCGATATTAATTCCCTAGTGGAGTGCTGTATGATGAACAATTTAAAATTAAATACTGTAGAATACGGCTAGAAATCCTGCTGATTGCGCATGAGTGTGTGATGAAGAAGGTGCAAGTAATAAAAGATTTAAGTATCACGTTCTGACCGGCACTTTGAGGATGTCTGGTGCGCAGAATATGTGTTTAGATTTTGAGAATTTAAGACGTATATGTCCATTCTATCTTGGAGTATGGGTCAATAATCTGTTCTCCCTTTTGCGAAATTCACAAAAACCGAATTGATGCTGTGCGGAACAAGTTTTTAAGGTATCTTAGGTATAGGACGGGCCAGAGCGGTTTACAAATCGATCTCATTGAAGTGGGGGCTTCACGGACTGGCTATTTTCGAAGACCGTAGAAAATTTCTGGATTAATGTTTTGTCTTTCAAGTGATAAATGGCGTTATCGATTCTTCTTGTATTCTGTCAAGTTTTAATTTTCATGTCCCTTCTAGAGGATTGAGAGAAAGTCACCTTTTGTCTCCTGTACTGTTGAAATCCATTATTAGTATAATGTGAGAGTTTTAAATGTGCTTTTGTAGATGTCGTCAGTCTATCAAGTCCTTAAGTTACAGGCTTCGGGTTATAAGATACACATTTTCCCTGAATATGTATGGGATCTGAGTA